CCACCTCAGAAGGTTGTTCTGTGAAAAATAGGAGACAAGGATTATAAGATACAGGTAGTCCATTTGTTCAGTGCCTGCTTGAAATTGTGTTAGTGTTGATGAAGGGACTAATGACCCATGCCTGAAATTATGGCTGTTATGGTTTCCCCATAATCATGTGATGATGATTTGGGCTCTTGGCAACAAATGCACACTTACTGGCAAAGTAGGAATTGGTTAGGATTTGAAACCCGAGCTCTTGAAGAAGATGGCAGCTTCTGTGTTGTCCTGATAATGGTCGTAAGGTTCAGAACAGCAGATTCCACTTGGATGCTAGGAAAAACTTTCTAAGGCATGATAATCGTAGCAGAGAAACAAGAGTCATGGAATAAACTATTATCTAGGAAATTGTGTAGTTGAAGGAAGAGATCCTTGGCTGCTGAAATCCCATATCTGTCTCACATTTCATTATTAGGTTTCCATCAACTTTCAAGAATACTTACTTTTCCCAGAAAATATTTTTAAATAAAGAGGCTAAAGGTTGATTAATATACTTTATAATGCCAGTTGCCATACACATAATGCAAATGTGCAGCTTTTCTAACACATTGGTTATTATTTTTTAAATAAAATGATGGAATAGCCTGGAGACTCTGAATGCTAGGCTCTATGCCATATTTCGGGTTTCAGATTCCTATTAGAATAAATAGAATTGTTCTTCAAAGGTTTCTGCATGAACAGTACAAGAAGAAAACATTAATATCACAAGCTTCAAGAAATGTATCTATCATTTCAGAAGAAAGGTCAGCTTCCACCCCCACTTCTCAGGCACAAATAACCACGTGCACATTCAAGTGTGCCCCAGGCCTATGGCAAAGCTTGATAGATGCTGAGATAGAAGTGTTTTGGTAGAGGTAATTTTCCTCAGATGGGTTTCAGCACCCCATGAATCAAAACCTGTCAGTGAGGAGCTAAGGATGGAGTGAAGTTTATTGTAACATGTTTGCATCTGACACTAGTATGTAGGGGGTCAAGTGAGGGAGATCATTAGAACCATGTTGATTTAGTGGGATTGTTACGCACTTTCCCTTCAGGCAGTGAGTGGGGATGGGGTGATTATAAGGAGTCACTAGAAAAATAAATAAAAAGCTCTCTATAGCCCCTTCTGTGCCCCATTATATATGTTCATTCATTTAAAGTTGTGGTTTGGCTATTTTTTTTTTCTTAAATGTTCTTTCGGCTTTAGCAATACAGACATGGTTACCTTCATTGACCTAAACAATGTGGTTTGGAAAAGATTAATGCGTCAATACTGTATTGAAATATATGTAAATTACATGTTTAGTTTTGATAAGCATTTCCATGACATTATGCATATTTTCCTTGTAGAGTTGGAAATAACAGAAAACTGCATGTTGGTGGGTTGGTTATACCTGCAGATTAATCTTTGTGGCAGAAATATATTTTATATTCAGTATTTTAATGGCAGTACATATACAGTAGCTTTCTAAAATAAATAAAAAAGATGCTATATTTCACTTTTTATATTCATTTACAAGCAGACAGAAGTATGCTATATAAAACATCGCTTAGGAATGCCATTAAATACAGGCAGTGCATTTCCCCCTCCTTTGTTTCCTCTTTTTCCCTTTATTTTAAAGTACCATATGTCTTTGTTAACTTAAGTTATCAAATAGAAGAAGAAAACCCTTTAAGCAGGAAATATTGAAGTTAGATTTGTAGGTAAAGTAACAAGAACTTTGTCTGCATAAAACAGAGCCGCACAACCTGAGACCAAGAGTTGTATGTTTCTTCAACGGGTTCCGCAGTTGAGAGATTAATTTTATTAGCCATATTTATTTTTAAAATAGGTTGAAATGTAAATCAAAAGAAACCAAATTTTGGGTTTTTTCCCCCCAATAAACTTACTAGTTTTCAGAATGATCTCCCTGCCCCCACATATCTCCCAACAATCTACTGTGTTTCCTGACTCAGAAGAAATCCTTTGGGATACATTGTCTAGCATAATGAAACCAAATGTACATCTTTTTGCCTTATCTTAAAATTAAAATCAGCAGTTTCTATTGTTTGGGCAGTTAGTTTTCTTTTAAGTCTAAATATAAAATATTTCATTATAATAGTTTGGCATTCTTAGCCAAACTATTATAGGTCCCAAAATATTCTATGTCATATCTAGAAAGGCTAGCCTAGAGATCTGTCTATGTGGTCACTAAGCATTGATGCTGACTTGACAGCACATAGTCAAATCAATTAATCTATGAAAGTTAAATATTAAGGATATGTACACAACAGAAAATACATTTTCCTTTAAACCTGGGACAAATAACTTCACTCTGGAATTTCAGCTAACCCCAGAATATTTTGATAGTTCCTGGTTTGGGCCAGAACAAAATCTGCAGGGGTTTTGTAGGACAAGTAAGGCAAGACTGGTGTTTCACATATATCTTTCCCATTGTTTTCCACTTGGATTTTTCCTTTCTCTTTTAATTGCTATCAGTATTCTTGAATTCAAACACAACCTATCCAGTTGACTTCCAGCCACTTCCTTTCTCTACCTTCATCTAGCTGTTCCTGTTCCTCTTGATTTCAAGTATGGCACATCTAACCTATATAGATATCACTTTCCAGCAGCTTTATTTCCCTTATTTCCCCTTGGTTGCTATTACTATTGAATTCAAGAGTGGTATATCCAATCTATTTCTCTCCCCACCTTTCCATCTACTACATTTGCCTAGTTCTACTTCAGTACTGCTGCTAGCCTTGCTTACTTCCCATTGTTCCCCAACTCTAAAGCATTTGTGCCTAGAAGATATTTGTTTCAGTTCTGTGCCCGGACCACATATGCATAATATTTCAATCCAGATTTGGATCTTCCCCTCACTATTTAATAATTTTTCTAAGATTGGAAAATAAAATCTGATGAAGATGTTGACACAGAGTTAGGCAGGAGCCATTCCAAAGATACAAGTGTATAGAAAGAATGTATAACTGTTTATATTCACTGTTGATATAGTCTGAAGCTCATAAGAAACTACTAGATTTTAATTTAAAATTTCAGTTGTTATTATTGCTGTGACTGATTAAGATGTTCTAGTTAACAAAGTTGAGCTTAATTGCTATAGTGTTATTTAAGGAAATGTCAGCATAACAAAGACAATGCTGACTCTTGTTCATGATGTAATCAGCACAACTTTGATGACAAAAGTGGCATAATATATCAGTGATGTGAGTGAGTTTATGAACGAATTGGTTGATAAGTTTGTTTTGCACTTGTATAAATAAAGCCAATTGTCATCGCTTGGATGATTAAGTTTAATCAGAGTTTAATCAATTTGCATAGATGAAATATGAAACAAAGCAAGCTTTATATAGTCGCCATAATCCTGATACTTCCTCAATGTTTAGTGATTTAGTGAAGACCTGGCTCTGTTGATTAAGGAGCCACTCTGTGAAATAGGCAGTCATATAAGTTTGATCAATAATAAATACATAAAATTGTAATATAACCTAGCCAGTGACAAAGTTCAGATTCCATTTGTCAAGGTCCTTAATGGATCCGGGAAGTTTTGCATTCAAGTGAGATTAATGATCCAAGCAAATAAAATTAAGTATTTTATGCAGTTACATTTCCATTTCCATTTTCATCCTTTTCTTGACTCTGCTTACTTCTGAGCCCCTCTTTACTAAATTATCAAATACATCAAATAGGGAAGAGAGAAGATTAAAAATACTCTGTATGAACTGGTGAGCAGAATTAGAGAAGGAAAGCAAAGTAATTGGACAATCTTGTAGATCTGAAAATAGCATAAGAGAATTTATATGGCAAATGGATGACATAGAAGCTCTTAAAGGTTAATAGATGGCCTTGATTATTACTGTTAGGCCAAAGCCTCAAGCATGGTTAAAGGTTAAAAGAATAAAAAGCTCCAGGCTTACAGGAAAATCAGCTGAAGAAATCCAAAGAACCCACACAAACTAGCATTTATTTCCTCACTCAGAGTGGAAAATAATTGAAACAGAATTTATGAAGGCAAGTTAAGTGCCATACAAGTCATCAAATGCAAATGCTTTCATTAATGGTAGCAAATGGATTACATTAAAAATATGACCTGCTCAGAAATAAATTTCAGGTGCACTATTTCTCTCATTCTGATTATTACTTTCATCTGCTAAAAATCATAATGATTAGATTTTGTTCAGTAATTTCTAAAGTTCTGCAAGTTTTATTTGTACTGAAATAAAAAAATATATCCTTTATTTTAGGGAGGGTTTTTTCTGTAGTTCAAAATATTATAAAAAAACAATCTTATAATGCACATTATACTGTCCATTGCTATATATAATTCCTGATCTTTAACAAAGTTCTAAAACTCTTTTATCCTGAAAAGAAAATGATATGCTTTTAGCTTAAGTTCTTAATTTTAGAGTAAAGAAAGTCTATATTTTTAAAATTATTAGTTCATAGGTCAAACTATTATCAACTTCTTCAGTTTAATAGGTGAGTAGTTTGGTCCTGCTGTTACCTGTGGGTTAAAAGAAGGACAATAATATTAGATACGTGCAACATTCATTTCAATTTCTTTTCTTTTCTTTTTTTTTTAAATGCCTTGCTACTGCAAAAAGCTAGGCAAGAGGAATTCAGAAAGATGACATACTGTACCTGTGTCCTACTAGCATTATATTGCACATCATTGTCTGTTTCTGGTAGCAGCTGTCATTTTAATTGATTCCGGATTTAACGTTAAGTTTTTAATTACTAGAAAGACAATCAAAGAAGAAGGAACTTGATTATTCAGCAACTCTGGTTGTTTCTGTGATCAGCTTCTTATAATTATATATTGTCTATATTGAGAATGGTGTCTGTTCAATGCATGCAATAATAGGTAGTTGTGAATATTTTTCTACCAATTCTTTGAGACTCCAGGTAGCAAAATAAGATGATAGGAATTAAAATTATTCTCTTGGCCTACATTCCAATATGTTACTCTCTTTCTATATAGACCGAAGATGATGAAAAACTGAAAAAAAGAAAGGAGAGGTTTGGCATTGTTACAAGTTCAGCTGGAGCAGGAACTACAGAAGACACAGAGGTAACATTTTTTTATAACATCTTGGGCTCTGAGACTTTCTGTAATTGAAATAATGTCAGGCACTCCACAAGATGGCACTGTGTGACTTTTATGCTTTTCTTTGCCCAGTCCCCATAGTCCCATTCAATTATTGTATACTAACTTAGATATAAATCATTTTATATTATGTCAGATTTTTTTTCTTTTTTCTCTTTAAAGATATTTTCAGATTGTTGCTCTGTGATAGGTTGGATAATTTTTGAAAAACAGAATAGTTGGGCTTTTCTGTCATTAAATTATACAATAGATATAAAACTTGGAATTAGTTTAGTTTTATCTTGTATGTCTACCCTTCTGAGTTATCCAGTATCATCCAGTTATCAACATAGTTGATTTCGAATTACGGGTTGTAGATCCAGACTAATTTTTCTATCTATTGTAGAACTTTAAAAGTCTTTTTAAATGTGGGATGTATGTATATCACGTGGTATGCATGCAACATTATTTTATTGTCTCTTCTTCCACAGTTAGAAAAACAGTGCTATTGCTTTAATCTTTTTGTAACTTCTTGATGACAGGCATCTGCCATTATGTTATCAGACCTATGATTCCTTCCCAATTTGATCTTTCTATTCCAAATATGCAGGGTTGTTGTTGTTGTCTGGGTTCAGCAACTTTGTTTTTAAATTGATTACACTATTAAGATGTCATCTCGACCACAAGTAGTTCTCTTGCTAAAGTCTAATTTCACTTACAGAAGGGAACGATGTTTGGATATTGGATTGGACCCTGAGTGAGGAAGTATGTTTTCATTGGCATCTACTGTGGGGTGCTTTTTGTTTTCCCTAGATGCAATGCTAGCATTGCTTCACAAAATGAAGTAGCAGCTGTAGAATGATCTGCCTGTTCAGTTGGAGTGAAAGGGGTGGTTGGTCTGAGGGATTCCATGCGTTTCCATTTGGACACTTAGTGAGTGCCTGAAACAAAAAGCTCTTTTTGTAGTAGTGTATGTACTAAATGCACCTTTTCCTTGGAGATTCTTGATTAGGACTTCTGTTGCCCCCTAAGCTATTTATCGTGGTAAAAATTAAGATTTATGTGCCCCTGGTATATTGACTTAGAGGCATATCTCAAAGATGCATGAGTGTATTCAATGCATTTGACTGTGTCCTACTCGCCTTCTCTGTGAATAGAAGAGTGTTAACCCTTTGGCCTTTTACATTTCTCACCTCCTATTGCCTAGAAGGCTTTCTAAGCCTGTAAAATGGTAATTGTTCCAAGTAGAACTTTCTCATATAAGCCAGCAGGATGAAGCAACTAACAGGCCACTGTATCTCATGCTTTATAGCTTAATTTCTGACTGTAGTTGGATGCCCCATTGCAATAGGAGTGCCTCTTGTGAAACCTGATATGAAAGATGCTTTCTTAGAGGTATACTGTTACACTCCTTATAGACTTTCTGCTTTTCTTTATGCTAAAACCCATACTCAGAGTTGCCATTCCCTTTGGTTTTGACTTTTTTTAATTCATCTTTTAATTCCTATTTACAGGCAAAGAAGAGAAAAAGAGCAGAACGTTTTGGCCTTGTCTGACGATCTTCCTCTTAGTATTTACTTGTTCAGGGTGTATGTTTTAAATATTCTTCATCTCTAAGGAAGAATACAGTTTCTCCCTCACACACATCTTGACTTTGTATTTCAAAGCTAGCTATTGAGTTGTTTGCACCCTACCCCACACTCTTTCAGACCGGAAAAGTACAGAATAAAAGTATTCTGTTTATGTATGTTGTAATCAATTTGGATCTAGTGGTAATTTTTTTTTAGCCATTTGTATCCAAAGTACACATTGCTGCTTCTTTTTGGAGTAGAGGCAGCTGTGCAAAGGGATTCCCCAACTAATAAGAATTGTCACCTTCAGCTCCATTTAAACTTAATCAGTAATAAATAAAGTTGTTTGAGCACTCCTTGTATTTTTCTATAGGCATTCATTGCCTAGGTATTTCTAATTTTCTATTAATTTTAGCTAAGAAATATTTTTTCTTTCATTTATAAATTCCAATCATAAAGTCAATCAGTTTCTTCTTCAGTTACTATTAAGTTTAGATTTTACTAAAAAGTAAAACATTTTCTCCTTGGAGTTATATGTTTACTAAATATTGAAGCTGATGAAGTTATGGAATCTTAAGATGGATCTTGCATTATCCTTCACTAAAATAGAACTACTTTTTACGTATTGTTCAATTATATTATATGAGTGGCCCACAGAATAGAACAAATTGCATCCCAATGTACAGGTAGTAAAATTGTCATGTTCTTAGCTAGACAGCATCCTGCAGTAATATTTTAGAACTATGCCTCAAAACTTTTAAAATTCGTCATGAATACAGAATTTCCTCCGTTAAAAATAGTATTTAAAGTTATAAAAAACAATAGGTATAAAACTATTACAAAATATTATATTCATGTTCAGCTTTTTTAAAAACAGCTTTAAATTCGTAGTTGATTTTCAAATACGGTGTTCTATGTTTCTCTCTGAACTGAATGTACTTTAAATATCTGACGCTTGGTGTTTCAATTTATTAAAGACAACTACTTGGAGAAAACTTCTTGCCTTTTACATTACTACATCCTATTTCCTCATAGACAAATTATTCATAGCAGCTATAGAAATTGAATGCAAGTGTAGGTGAGCAAGAATACATTTTTAGGCGATTTCATCTTTATCTAAATGTATATCAATCTCATTTTTTAACTAAGAATAGACTAAACAAATATTAATTTTTATTGCAGATCTTTATCATCCTTTATAGAAAGAAGTTGTTAGAACATTCTGTATTTTAAAAACAATCTTAATGATTTATCAGAGGTTTTATACTGTTACTGATTGACTTTTGCCTTGAATGGTAATCAGTTTGGTCTCTTTGAGATTTTTTTTTACCCTAGTTTTTTTTTAACAAAAAAAACATAATTTTCCCCCTATATCTCATAGTTAATTCCTTTTGTCCAAGCACAGATTAAACTATATATATAAAAATAACTTGAAGATTCTTCTTATTCTGAATTCATGCTTCATTTGTATTCTGAAATTAGTCTGTTTGACAGTATGCTTATGTTTTTCATTATTTAAGCCTTCTTTGAGCAACAGTCCAATGATTTATTTGCTATTTAGTACTAGCTAAATGTGTGTTATATATCCTAAAAATGTTGTTTATTTTTTGTGTGTTTTAATTTCATAACATTAAATTTTATTAATTGCTTTTTTACAGTTGGGTTACTTCCTTTGAAATGTTTTGTAGGTTGTGCTGAAACCAGTACAACATTTCATTTTTGATTTCATAATAAAACTGCTTGAGGAAATACATTCCCCGCTTCTTTGATGCAACAGAATTTGCTTTTTTGTTGTTGTTTATACCTGCTGTCATATATAACAGCTATAAAAGATGCATGTACTTGTTGTGTCTGGTTCTCATTAAGAGAACCCCTGTTTTTGTTGGATCAGAATATCCCTCTAGTTACTATAATTAGTTCTCTACATTTCTGTTTAAAAAAACCAGGCTTTATAATTGCATAATTGCTCTCCTAATTATGGAGCCGATTTTGTCACCAAATGAGGGAAGTGTGACTCTTAAAGTGTACAGTGGTATGAGGAAGCCAATCTGCATTGAAGGATTGGGTATCTTCTTGATCAAATACAGTAGTTTAAAAGAAATAGATGAGAACACAGGGAATCGTCCTGCTGTATGGATCTTTGGATCTTTTGCTTTATCTTGTGCCTCTTACCTGACCTTGACTGATCCTAGAACCTAAATATGTTTTGTTCAAAATGAAAGACCGTCTGGGCATTTCAGGGCTGCAGAGTAGACTAGAAGTTGAAAAAGTATTGTGGAAGTAGCAGACCATTTCCATGATACTGAGAAGAAAACTGCAAGCATATTGGTGAACCAATTTAGTGTAGTGATTGTGATGCTGGACTAGAAAGCAGAAGACCAGGTATTCCAGCCCTCCCTTAGGCATAAATACAATAGTGAGTGTGGTTATCAGAATCAAGTTTGATTCAAGGATATCTTCACCTTTATATTCAATAGTGCATAATTATTATAGCATGAACTTTTTTTCTATTGCTTCTTAAAAAATAAACTCCAAAAGTGCATTTATCTTCCTTAAAATTTTTCAACTTTGCACATAAAAACTGGAATCCAGAGCAACTGCACTCCCCCCCCTTTTTTTTTCCTGATCAGTTAATTCAAAAGGAGGCCTTCTGGTTCTGTTAACAACCATAATGTGCATCAAAATAGCCACTCGAACTATAAATGCTTTAAGAATAGGTTATATTCATTTTACATGTTAATATCTGAGGCAGTTAGATGAAAAGAGCAGTTAAGTATTATTGGGAGGACACAACACATTCTGTGATAATAGTGATCACTGTTCTAGTTTTTCCCACTACCTAGCCACTGGTTTCTTCAAATGGTTTATATTTGGTATATTGCTACTTTAGCTTTAATGGACTTTAATTAATTTAGTCTTTGTAGTTCATTGATGGATTTTCAGATTAGAAAATATAAATCCTGATTGAGAAATAATCAAATTAAACACTAACTTCCTGCAATACCGGATTACCAGTGGATTTCTTGAATGCTATCAGAATAAATTCTGATAACTCTCTCTACAATTGGGAGATTCATTTATGGTGACATGATCTCCTTTACATATATATATTTCATTTTTACCTAGTAGTTCAGATTTAATTAATACTATTTAATACTATGAAGTCAGAAGAATTTTTGCTTTCCTTTTCTATTACAGGATATTTATTTTTATTTATTTATTAAACATATTTGCATACAATATAATTTTTGTTCCCTTCCCTTCTATCATATCGAAATGATTATGGATACTCATGATCTCATTTTTTTTAGAAGAGAATAGGGGTCAGTGACAGGGGTATCTGAAAAGATAAATTGCAGACATTGTCAAATCAGAATGCCTTTGCAATTCATGGCAAGTTTCCCTTGGTAAGGATAAATCTACATGGCTAGATTCAGAACGATGTATGGTCAAGTGTTTGTTACGGTTGGGTATTTGTTTTCTTTATTATAAGTAAATTTTCATCTTACCATGACTGCATTCCTGTGTTTAAAATAAAATGTGTTGCTTAATGAAATTACCTATTTTGGCAGTAGTGCTATTATAGTAAACTCCAGTTCTATGTACTCAAGTCTGTTCTAATTCTGTTAATTATAGTTCATAAAGGAATGATCTTTCAGAGCTCTTTCTTGCCTTCTGTACTACTTCTGCATTGGGGGGGAAATATTAAAAATGCTATCTTGTAAAGGGTGAGGATTATTCCATTCTTTAGCAGAAAAAAAGGAGGGGATCAATCTAATCAAACTGTGTTTAAAACACAACCTAATTTATTTTTCCTCTCTAAGCTGGGGGCCGCTCGTGACTAATTTGAGCTGAATAGAGAGATAAAAAAAGCAGTAGGCATACAATGAGCAGCAGAAAGTGTGGGAAAAGCAGGAAAAGAAAGGGATGTCCAAGACTTGCAGTGTGAGAGCTACGGAAGGGTATGTAGCACCCACGTTCAGCATGAAGTCACTTTTCAAAAATAGACACTAGGACTCTAAATGCAATAGGTCCGGACTATAGGTCAGAAAGGAGAATGATTGTAATTTGTCTTTCATAACAAAATACAAACATACGTTCTTCTTAATTGCAATGTTATATTCTCCTCCCCCCCCCCCCTCTTACCAATCCAGCTTTTGGTGGATGGGTTTGAAATTAACAAAAAGAGAAAGGCATCTTAGATGTGTGCCAGGAAGGACTTGGTTAAAAAGAAATATATTTCATTTGCCCCTACCCTTTTGCTGTTTACTGAGTTCTACACAATTTTATTTCTAGAAATAGGCAAAGAAGTGACTTCATACCCAAAATTCTGAACATTTGAAATTCAACTTAGTCCCTTCCCTTCTACCTTGGAAAGAACTAAAAGTTAATTTTATAGGTATATAACATAATATTAAGATCACATGTAAAAACTACCTTTCCTCTCTTTAGGGGGAGAATATTTTGAAAAGCATGATAGGAAAAACACAACAATGATCAAGAACTATAGTGCAGAATTGTGGCATTAGTGCTAACAGATTTTAGAGAATGCAGCTCATTACACTGCACATTGTCCTAAGGCCATGATGGTGAACCTATGGCACACCAGCCATTGCCCATTGCTCTCTGGGCACACCAGCCATTGCTCTTTTGGGTGTGCTGGTCTTTGCATGCGTGGGAGTGGCAGAAACTGGACAGCAGCTCCCCGGCACACATGTGCACACTGGCCAGCTAGTCTTTGTGTGTGTGTGCACACTGATCAGATGGTTTTCATGTGCGTGTTAGAAACCGAAAGACCAGGCTGGTGTGCATGCATGTGCCGGAGAGCTGGTCTTCCGGTTTCTGGTACATGCATACATGTTTCGGCACTCGGTGCCTTTTTGGCATGTGATCGCTCCTGTTTTGGCACTCAGCACCCTAGGGCAAGGAAATGAGATTTGCCTTTAAGCCTGCAATGATAAATATGTGTATTGGAGAATGAGTCACATAGGACATAATTTATTTTTCCTGACAATACATACCCAGGATTATGTTGTATGTAACATGTTGATTCCACTGCAGAAGGAACTTAATTTTAGCAATATAATTTAATTGGCATACTTGGCATTCAAACAATTTTTTAGAAAAACATTCACAAGATGATTTCAGGACTGATTTTAATACTGAAACTACATTGGTTACTTTGATCTTGCATAGAGGATTGACAGAAATGTTTGATATTTTTAGGGACATGTATTTCATTTACTCTTAATCAGATTGCATTAAACAGGTATAAGTCTAGGAACATTTTTATTCAGCTGTATCAATGGAAACATGATATAAATATCTGTACAGTATTGTTCTGTGGTCTTGATGTTGTTATTCAAGTTTAAATAACTATGAACTGTGTACTTGTATAGAGGTTACTTTCAAATATTTTTGATGTCTGCTATTTCAAAAATGTAAGTGCAAATTCATTTACTATAGGCCTGAGGATGTTGACAAGTTACAATTCCTAGTAGTCTATAATATTAGTGGTGACATATTTATGTAAAACATTTATATATAATCACCCATCTTTTGTCAAACTACACAGTTCCCAATCAACAATTAAAACAATGTCAATAATAATATAATACAGATATATATATATTGAAACTATAAACATTGAAAAAATATCCCTGCCCTAAGTTAAGCTTCTAACATGAAGTTTTTCATTAAATCCTTTTGTCCACTTTATCCTATTCCAGCCAGATCTTCAGAGCTTTTTGACCCAGGAAGGCAGAGCCTGCCAAACTTCAAGGGGACAGATATTCCATAGGGCAGAGACTGCCATGGAAAAGACATGCTTTCTAGATCCCATAAGATGGCAGTATTTAAAGGAAGAGACTAGGAGCATGCCCACCATAACTGACTTGGTGGGTAGATGTCTTTAGGGAGACATAGTCCCACAGATTGCTCTGTGCCATATAGGGCTTTTCACCTTGAAAAGTTGGTAGCTTGCAACTTTTCTCTCATATGCTGTACATATGCTGAGAGTTGCATAGAAAAATCTGTTAAGAATTTTTTTTAGCAGGGTGTGTGGGGAACACCAATTGATGAAGTTATATCTCACCAGTTTTAGTCTGCTGTTATACTGGCTGGTTTCCAAGCAGAATTCAAAACATGGGCCTTTTAATGAAACTTTGGTTTGTTGATGATGTGAAGAAATGTCAGCTTCCATATCAGTGTTTATATTACCATCAGAAACCCTCCTCCACATATCCCTGTCAAAGTAAGGAAATTTTCACCTGGAGTTGGATTTTTTTTTCCTCCAAGGAGACTTAAGTGCCATGTACTTACTTGCATCTTTTTTCAGCAAAA